TTAAAGCTGCATCAATGTATTCTCCTTATGCATTGTTGCTCCTAGCAGTGGTTGCATTTTGTTAGTTTAAGAAAGCACTCTGGGATCTTTCAGAATAAAAGGATCATTATTGCGGAAGTTGGAAAAATGTCAGCAGAAGGGATGAAATATTGCCCCATGCCCTTGCTTTACAGAACAGGGAATCTTTTCTTCTAGTGTTGGTTTAGGACTTAATCCCGCAAGGTCCTGTCTGTCAGCAAATACAATCAGGTTTAAGAGCATGAATAACCATCCTAGAAATCACTAGAAACTATTTTGTTAGTGTGAAATTAAGGAAGTGCTGAAGTTCTCCGATAGACCAGGGACCGGAGTACTCAGCACCCTGCAGAAATGAGCCTTCAGTTCTTAGAACCATTTATTGTGTCCAGAACAGCCATTCATTAGGGCTTTGTGCAGAGAGGTTGAATTTCACTCACTTGGAAGATATTCTTTCTAACCCCCTGAGAGACACAGGCTCTTCGGTTGATTTGGAAAACAAAATGATTAATTGCATTTTACAAGTTTTTCCACTAAACAGTTTTCAGTTAAAGGCTGTCACAAGCTAAAGAATTTGTAGGAATAGTGTCAATCTGATGACATAGTGGCAATAAATCCTATTGTACTGGATTACGTTTTTACCCATTAAAATGCTCTGACCTATTGTCATCCAAGTAGAACCACATTCCACTGGCTGTTCAAAAGGTTCTGATTTCACTCCCGATTGTTGCCAGGGCAACTGCACCTCCATCCAAAACTCTGCTGCACCAATCATCTAACTTGATCTGAACAGACTCAAGGAGATAAAACAACGCGCTAATTATCTGTTCCCATTGAAAAAGTCAAAATCAATTTTTTCTGAGATCTGAACTGAAACTCATAGAGGTTATTTCGGGGATATTTGTTGGGGTTTTTTGTTTGCTTGCTTGTTTCATGAGGCACCAATTGTCTCATTTCTTTGGGGAATAGCTATCTGTGTGAAAAAATGCCATGAAAAGATTAATATTCATAGTCTGTCCAAAGCAAGAGTGCACTAGAAGCCTCACCACAGATCACTCCTGGAAAGAGTTCTCACTCAGCTGTGGAAAACGAGAAGGATTTTCAGTAACAGTCAAACAGCTGGTTAATGCTTGTGAGTGGAAATAGAAATGTTTGAATTTTCCCACTGAGATTTCTGGTGGAAAACAGGCTGTGTTTTATGGCATCTACTTTTACATGCGTTAAGTTAATATATCAGTTGTCTTGCTTTGAGCATCTTTGAGTGGGAGAATGCCAGTTAGAAGACACGCATGCTCTGCCATAGCTGCTAAGGATCAGCACTTACTGGGGAATAAAATGGACTGCCTGGAGCATCTGGCCATGTCAGAAATCAGCTCAGTAATGCTAGTTTAGGTCTGATCACAGCCAGGCTACAGGCCTGCAAAGAAACAAGATTGTGCTGATACTGCAAGACAGAATCAAAGCTGTTAAACTGATGTACACTACATTCGTTTCCATTTTGAAAACAATTTGAGAATTTTAAAAAGAACAGGAGATCCTTTGTGCTCAAAGTTGCCTCACAAATGGAGACACCTTTAGTTCTTATACATGGAAAACTTCCAGCTAGTTTTACTCTGTTATCCAGATGAGTCTTCATTTCACAATCTACTGTCAGGCTCTGCCTTGGTTTTCCTTTGGAGTGCAGGAAAACTTGTCTGAAAAATCATTGTTCGCCGAACCTGCCTCTACCTCAATTCGTTTCCCAGATTGTTGATTTTTATCAAATGTCATTTCTTAGATCTTCCCAGGTTAGTAGTGACCTTCTATCCTCTATCCTGTGGACAGCAAAGAGAAACCAAAAATGTAATGCTTCCTCAGCACAATCCTTCCACAGGAAATTAAGGGCTGAATCTCTCTTTGCTGTTCCAATTCTCCAGTCCAGCATGTCACCACAAATAATATTTGAGTAGCTGAACCATATTCTTCCCTGTCTGCACTCGCAAAACAGGACTTTTAACTGCTTTAGAAACAGGAACTAGTGTTACTATCATGACTGCAAACTACAAAAAATGAAGTATCTTGTGAAAAGCAGCACAATGAGTTTTTGGGTTACAGCATTCCTTCCTGCCAGACAGAATAGACAAATAGTCTGCTTTCACAACATGGCGTGAAAAGTTGAGAATCAGATCGCACTCCTGTCCTAATTTAAAAAGCAAATAGAAAAGAAATCCAAGGTTGTTTTCTGTTTGTTTATTTGTTTGGCTTGTTTGTATTTATCATCTGGCATTTTAATTGCACAGCAAGTTACTGTAAATGGATGTTCTGTTACCAAGAATGGTTTCATGCTCATAGAGAGAATTTTGGGCAAGAAAGAGACCTAATAAAATAAAGAAGGACATGGAATCAGCCAATCTAGAGAACCATACTCGTGCCAGAGAATACAGAATGAGGTGAATTAGCAGTGTCCTGTTGAAAGGCAGAAACTTTCTCAGTGTGAAGTGTTTTCCAACTGATCTTTCCAAGGGCTATTCAGAATCCCTTCTGCCAAAAGGGTGTCTCAAAGATTTCAACCTTCTTGTCTGGTAACACCTCCTTTGCAAAAGTTTGTTTCTTTATAAACAGAGCTTCCTGAACAAATGACTGATACATCAGTCCCAGTTCTTTCTGCCTCCAGAAAGAAAGGATATAGAAATCTTGGTAAGAGCTTGAGTTGTATTTCTGATATGAGTTCCCTTCTGTTGTGGCGCTGAGTCATTATTGCTACACTAACGAAATACAGCTAATCTGCGGATTGCTTGGATATTGCCTGAATTTAGCAAGTTTGCTGCCGGTTAACTCTGACTGATCAACTGACATTTGCTAAGCTGTGCTAAACCATTTATCAGGATGTACTGGAATTTTTGCTTTTGGCAGTGTGTATCTCTAGGGAGCTTGCATGACTTAGTGGCACCAAACTTGTAGCATCAGTCCAGTCACACCCTTTCAAAAGTAACAGGAACAAGTGCACCAGAATGTTTGCCTGCTCCCGTTTCAAAAATGTCCATCAGTATTATAGAATGACTGTGTCATGTAAATGATGCAAGCCTTCTTTGCATTGATTTAAATCACCTAAACAAAAGGACACAAAAGAAAAGAAAGCAAAAGGAAGATGCAAAAGTGCTGGGAGGCCAATTAGTAAAGTCTCTGCAGATGAAAGCTAAAGAACTTTCTCCCTTTTCTTCTTTCAGTGACTAATCTCTGTTACTGTAACAGAATGTTAGGAATGTTTATCCTCACCAAAACTGAAGCATTCACTTCCTCTTCTCCATCTCCTTAAGTCTCTTCAAAAAGCACTTCCCTCTCCATTATGGCTGTGGCAGGAAAGCTTATGATATTACTACAGAAAACACTATCTGTAAAAGAATTTCTTTTATGCCCAACTAAAAGCTTGTAGTCTCACTCTGTATCACCACGAGTCAATGAGTCAGGGGTAAAAAAGAAACAGCTTGAATGTTCCCAGGAGACCAGAAGAAAGGAAAAGTGATGCAAGGCAAGGATGCTGCATTTTTTACAGCAATAGCCATGAGGACAGACCACATCACAGACCACCCGTCTCTAAGCTGGACCACCTCTGTCTTCTTTCCAGGTTCAGAGCACCGTGGTGGCTGCTTTCACAGGAGGAGAGCTTCGTTCCAAAACTACTGCACAGGAGCGAGTATTTGAGGAAGTTTAACAGCAAGGAACATGCAGAAGCTAGTATTATGTAATCAACCCCCTGGCAAGTGCGTTGCAAATGATGCAGTGAGTAACATAAGCATTGCATTGTCTTTCTCTGGCATCTTTCAATCATCTTCTATCCACTGGGTTAGTACTGCGAGGCAGGTTAGCTTCCTCAGGCACACAGTGGCAGTAGGAGCGAAAACCCTAAGTATACAGCGAGAAAAGGAAATCCTATCCACTTGTTTGCCTTCTATGTGACCTTCCCAGATCCTCAGCCTAGTTAGAAAAGCATCTCTGTTTTCAGTACAGTTTGAATTGTTTGTCCAGGGTAACAAATACAGAAATCAGGATATCTCTAAGGTGGACAACAAAATTATTCCTTTCTTACTTTTGTTTGTGGGTTCTTAAAACAAACCAGGGGTCAGTGTCTCTCATCACTCATTACACATACATATTTGTGCACAAGTTCACATTCACACAGCCACTCACACCTAAGAAAACTGAGTCCATTCCTGCAGTTCAGGCCTTTGCTGCTAGGCCCCTCTCTGCTCCAACAGTTCCGACAAGCTGGTTGCCCAGACCAGCCTCAGAAGGCAGGCTTTGGGGCAGAACGATTCTTCTGACTCACGCTCAGTTCAGCCAACATTTCTCACAGTCTGTAACCTTCAATTTCCTCTGGTATGAGCTGAAAGTGCCTCTGCTGGTCTGCCCTCCTAACTCAAGAATTCATGCGGTCAGTTTTGCTGCACCTTAGCTTTGTTCCTCTGGTAATGACACGTTGGAAAAACCCACCGTACGTGGACAGGCAGGAACAGAGGAATGTAGGAATTGCCAAACTGGATCAGCCCCACTGTCTGTCTGGTTCTGTATCCTGTCTCTACCAGTGGCTAATACCAAACGCTCCAGGAGAAGGTGTAAGAGCACTGCAATAGGCAGCTTTGCAAGAAATTCCCTCCTCAAACAAGTTCTTATCCTGATCTTCAGTAGTTAGAGGCTGGACTCAGCCCTGCAATTACAAAGCTTCCCGAGCATGTATTTGTACCAGCATTATAACTCTGCCTACTTTTAATATTCAAATGAACACAAAGTCCCCTTCTGAATTTCTGTGTGATAGAGAACTGTGTTGCCAAACAACAACTAACAAGCTGCCAGGTTACAATGCAAAACACACTTCTCGTTGAGCAAGATGAACAATTTATTCCCATGCAGGTTGTTTAGTTAGTTTAAAACTCTCTAAGGTAACAGGATTTCTATTTAAATGTACACACACGAACGCGCATAAGTCAGGAAACAGAAATGGGCTTTACCTTAATATCTGCTGAGATCTGAATCTCTGCTTCACTCCCTCCTTTCTTTTTCTCTCTCTCCCTCTCTTGCATGGCTGGACTGACAGGTTGGCAGGGCTGAGAACGACAGGTTGGGTTTGTTTTTTTAGGCGCAACTCCTCCCCCTCTCAAAGAGAGAAAAAAAATGCAAGACTGCTTGGGAAAAGTTCACAGAAAATCCCATCCTTTCAGCACATTAGAACTGACGAGACATATGCTACATTTGGGAGTCCAGCATTTTTCCTATTTTTTTCTCAGAAAGGCTCAAAGTCTACTTCGCAGCAAGTACGAAGCAACCGGAGGATTTACACCGGGATCTGATCTGCCCCCCAACCGTGTCCCTGATAACTGATCCAACAGATAATTGTAGCCTCTTTCAGGCAGCCTTGACAGCGATTTTTGTAAAAGTGGAAGGTGCTTTTACACAAGCACAAATGCCTTTGGGCCTTGCACTTTATCTGTACATCCCACGGCCTCCGTGTATAACAAAAGCCACCAGCAGATGTCTGAAGTCCTCGTTTCTCTCCCAGAGTCCTCCGCCGCTGCCAACCTGCCCGCACTTGCAGCACCAACGGGTTATTTTCAGCTCCTGCTTTACTCCGTCCTCTGACTCGGCTGCATGGAGACCGGCTGGCCTTCGGTCACCGTCACCTGAAATGCGACAGTGATGCTGCCAGGTCTCTCTGCGAGTGCTGGGGGAAATATTTAGCAGGCCACACTGGCCACACACGTACACACAAGGAGTTTTGCTTCAGGAGACTTGGGCAGAGATGTGTGTGACAGGAAAAGTCAAGTGACAAGTGACAAGAAAAGTGACAAGAAAAAGGAGCCAAGAGGTCGGTGGCAGGTGATGAAATGGCCTCTACCCTTCTGCTTTCCTGTAATCTATCAAGAGAACCGCAAGACAAGTCTCTTTTGTCCTCTAACGCTTTCCTTAAGATGGCAGTTTGGGCACAAATCTGCAATTTCCACAGCCTCTTCTCTGAGGAGTTGCTGTCTATTCCTTACCCCGCTGTCTCAAGCAAACATACAGTAGACTAATGACAGTCATCTGCATAAATTTGCATCATAGACTCCTTGAATAGAATCCATATCTCCTCTGGGTCAGATTTGCAGCTGGTTTATAACAATGAAGTCTCATAGACTTCATTTACCTGCGTCACTGCGGCTGGCATCACAGTGCTCAGTATGCTGATAAGCAACAGCTCCACGAAGCCAGAAGCATTCCAAAACTTTTGGAAAAAAAACAGACGCTTTAACTAACATTATGATGAACTAGCTTATGGGTGAAATCAATGAGTATCACACAAAGTCAGCACAGCATCATATACAAAAATGCCCAGTTCCATGTTTCACTAAGCTGCTGCAGTATTTCCTACGCTGGGAGAGTGCTGTTCCAGGGCCAGCTTCCATTCCTCCCCTCAGTCTCCTGCAGAATCCATTTGCTTTCTGCCTCTTCTATCAGGCAAGTGTTCTCAATTGTGTTCAGATCCCTGCTTAAGATTTCCAGGGAGATAACACAAATGCTAAGAAATCTTTCCGGCCAGTGGAATGGGCTAACTGAATCCAGACAGCACTGGTCATGGCCAGCACCAAAGTTCAGCGATAATGAATCAGGGCTGAACGCACCAGTGCCTGCTGAGTGCCTCTATGAGGTGAGAAACTGTTCTTAAGGTTACAGCATGGTAATGGGCTTCGTGTTTCTGCCTTAATTTCTAATACAGATGGGATGGGGATAAGAATGTACTAGTATTAGGTGCATAGCAGGCTCAACATTGCTGTATTAAAGGCAGATTAAGCAGCAGAGCTATCAAGCTGTAGCTTGCTGTGGCACTGATGCATGACAGTCCTCTCCCTTCTCAGCATTATGAGGCTGAAGATCCAGCTCCTTCCTTCTAAAGATTTGCAGCTTGGGGAATCCTTAAGGAAGCAGGGTAGATCCAAGGGGGGTTATTTTGACTGACCATTTCCTGCCCCAACACCTTGTGCCAGGAACTCGAACGTGGCCATCGAAGCACTCCTGCTTACCTCTGGTCTACCAACCCCACACAGCCCGTGGGCTTCTAGAGGAGGAGGAGAGAAGAAGAGCAGCAACGCAACAAAAGAGAATGTGCCAACATCCAGCTATAGCCTCCTGCTCAGATCCAGTCCAGCCCTGTGATGCAAGCCTGGAGGGTGATGGGTTTATGTGGAGCATTTACACAGCTTCTCTACCCCTTTTTTTATGAGGCTATGTCCACCCCAGGAGCTAAGGGTCCATACAAGCCAAGAGCTGGTTGTTCTCAGCAAGCAGAGTTGCCATTAGAGCTTCAAATCTGTCAATAAATGCACTTCAATTAACTACTGAAGTGAAGTTAGATTTCTTGTTTTTCCTGTTTAATTACCGAGTTTCAAGACAGTCTAATAATGAACCCTTAGAACTTATTACAGCATCAGAAAGGCTGCAAAATTGCAGACAACATTGGATCATTATAGTCAATTAGTTACACTCCCTTTAAAAAATAAAAGAGGAAGGAACATGTTTCATAATATAGGAATCTAATCCAAAATCTCCTGATGCCAATGACAAGATTCCCATGGCTTTCAATTGACAATGATCAATGCAACCAATACAGTAAATCTGGAATTTTCATATATTGCTACTGAAGTTAGAGTACTGTTTCCTGCTGATTTTCATTTGGGTTCTATATGCCCTGCTGCTCTGTGATGCTTTCAAAACATCTTCCTTGATGCATGCAAATAGTCCTTTGTTTTTGCAGGTTCCTTGGGTATGGCTGAGCAGATACCAATCACACTGGAGCCATCTAAGGGCTGCCAAGGAGGAAAGGGAAAAAAAATAATATTAATAATTCTAGTTCCCAGCTTTTAGCCTTGGGAAAAGTGGATCACACAAGCAGCAGTGCAGGGGTCACAGATCCATGTCCATTACCTCAAACCCCAGTAACAACATTCATAATCCAGGCTGCTTTTTTTAGACTGGGTGAGTCTGTTGCTCCAAATTTCTACCCATTCAAAGTTCAAACTCTCTTTCTACTACCTATAAACTGCAGGTGCTTAAAGTTTGATAGGAAGGTGAGAAGTTTCCAGCAAAGAAGAGCAGCAAATGGGACCAGGTATGTTATCTTCAGTGCTTGCAGACTGGTGGCCTTAGGAAAATCATTACAAAAGTTCCTGTCAATGTAGAGGGCATAGATGTGGATGTCACAGCCCCTCTAGCAACTCTGTATGTCAGTGGACATACAGACCATTGGGAGCTGGAGAAGAGCTTTAGCCCTTTCTCATGTGTTATTGCACAGGGAGAATATTTCAGTCTAGGGACTGAATAATTCACCAAGAAATCAGCTGGCCAGTGTGGAAATAATTTTAAATGAACTGAGCCCTTAGGTATTAAATTAACTGGATCTCTAGGGAAGGATGTGGATTATTGCAGCTGAATGGAGCCCTTATTTATCAGATGGAAAAGGTTAATGTCATTTCCTTTCCTTTTCCTCCATGGTTTTTCTTACCACATCACCATTTATGGATAGCATGAGGTGCAGACAGTGTAAGAACATGTGCTTGATTGTTTAAATGACCAGAGCTGTTACTTTAATGGGGGGAGGGGGACAAGAAATTAAGAGTTCTTCTGGTTTCCTGGGAGGAATTACAGGGCTGGGAAACATAAAACACTGAAGAAAGGAAATGGGCTTTTGGAGCACCTGGTCTTTGATTTGACATCCAAGAGTACCTAACTGAATGAGGGAATTTTTGCATTCTCATCTACTGTGTGCACGTAACAACAGCCAGGATCAAACTAATCTAATATCCTTATTTCATACTTTATAAAGAAAGAGTACATTAAGAAATGTCATTTTTTTTTCCTCCTTAATTAAGTTTAAATACAGTTAAATTAAGTTCTACTAATAAAGAGTCTATGTTTTTTTCTAATTTGCCTCTGGAATCTCAATAGCTGTGGACCTAAAGATAAATATCAGAGCTGTTCAGCTATCTATTATGTGCTTTACTAATGATGACAACAAGGTAATTCTAATACCAGCTATGGAGACAATTTCCATGGCAGTAAGACTTAGAGAAATGAAAGCCGAGATTAAGAGAAGAAAAATCTTTTTGTCGTAAAAGACTCAAGAGACACAGGTTGATTTCCTCATCTCTAGCATTGTACAACCTTAGGCAAGCCAGTTAAGGGTATCCTCCAACCTGTTAGCATAGTAACAGAATGGACCTACAACGCCCTTTCTGGTGTTAAGGATGAGCACATCTGACCTCTTGGGAATTCAGGGATGCCAGCTCCTGGTTCCCTGTTCAAGCCCACAGAAACAGGTATGGCATTTGAGTCAGGCTTCTAAGTACAGCCCTTCTCAGTGTTTAGAGGGGCTGTATACATAGGTGTCATGCATATTTGTCTTTGCCATGCCGTGAATAATAAATGGTTTGAGTTCCTCACCACCCTCTTGTTTCCAGAGCCATCAGCAGAACATAACTCATGCTAATTCCATAAGAAGACATCAGAATACAACTCTTGGTCTCCCTGACTATGCAGAACTACAAGATGTGAAACTTGTTCCTAGCTCCCAGATCCAGACGCTTCCCTACCCCAGATTCAACTCCATGTTGGATCAAAACTCAGGCATACACCTTTCCTCTCTCTACAACCCATTATCCATCAAAGGAAATCCAGACTGAGGGGCAGAACATCTCTGTATTTGCTGGATGATTCAGAGAAAATCTTTCTGGCCCAGTTTCACATCTATGAAACTGAATCAGTAGCTGAATCAAGGTAGAATACCTTGAGAGGTATCTTAAGGACAAAAAATTAATATTTGGTGGCACTGCAATGGGGATAGCTAATTCCAGCTCTGAATGAAATGAGGAGAAAGATGCCCATTGACTTATATGGGATTTAGAATGAACTCTTATTCATTTTTCATTAGCCACCGAACAGCCATTTGAGGATAACAGTGAGTAACTATTAATACGTGTGCAGTTAGACAATCAGCATCTAAGTTATAATGGAGTAAATTAATGTATGTATCTAAGGCAACCACAATGTGACTGTTGAGTTGGCCTCATAAGGTGAG